AGACAGAGAGATAGGGAGACAGATAATCGAGTCAAGTCGTAAGTAAAGTGCGTGAATCGTTCTGAATTATAGCGTGTGTTTAAGTTAAAGTGACTGTGGAAATTAAATGTATTGCAAAGTTGTATTGAGAAAAATAAACTAGTTTTATTTAAGAAAGGAATTGTATCGCTGAAGTTCTTTGGAAATAATTTTTACGGGAAATTAACAAAAGAACAGAGACGTAACAATATTTTACATATGTTCACCAAGTTTCATCAAAATCCAATCATTTTTGACTGAGTTCTAGTGCAAAAATAGTGTGAAAAATCTGTCACCATGTTAACAAATGGGTATTTTTTGGATTTTCGTGACCTTTCTGTGTCCTTGGTACTCTAAAAACTAATCACTTATAAGTTGGGTCATAGTCCAAATGTATACCAATTTTCATCCAAATCCATTCAGCCGTTTTTGAGGAATGTTGCTGACAAATAAAGAAACAAACAAACATACACACACAGGAGAGAAGACAACCTCTGTCCACTTTCAGTGGCGGAAATAACAAATCGATCTTGAAACACTTTTTAACATATTTTTGTAAACTTCAAATTTAACAATAGATGACGAGTGATTACACTATTAAAAGTTTGTGTCCCTTTTCTTGACACAGAAGTATAAAAATTCATGATATTTTTATTGAAATAAATATTTAATAGTTCAAACAATGCTGTTGTATAAGTTTCCAAATTAGAGAATAGACAGTGCTGTAAACATTTTTGATAAACAAATAATTTCAGGCTATTTTGAATAAAAATATATAATTTTTATATTCTTTAGATGACAAGTTCCTAGATCACATGTGAGCATTATTTCAGCTTTGAAAAATATAGAACATATAATATAACATAATGTTATGGGACAACATGAGACCTATTGGCCCATCTTGGCTGTCCCATCATCTAAATTAAACTAAAACTATTCATTAATAAATTTAAAAAATCTTAAAGCCAGCCCTTATTATTCTCATATTTATCAAGCTTGCTATCAAACTCACTTAAATTTATTGCCTACACAACATCTGAAAGCAACCCATTCCAAAAGCCAACCATCCTGTTAAAAAAATAAAACTGTATTAGCTGAAGATTACTCCTACCCTGCCAAAATTTAGATATGTGTCCCCTAGTCCTGCTAATCTCGCTGTTAAGTATTAAAAAAAGATGATGCATCAACACCATCAACTCCCTTTACAATCTTAATCACCTCAATCAATTTGACTGAGTTCCATTTGTAACAACCCTCTGCTTCCATCTATTCAGCCACTCTTCTATCGAATTTGCTAAATTATCCCTACACCGATAGAGATAATTCTTTACAAGCATTTTATGTAGCCTCTTGTCAAATGCTTTCTAAAAATCCAGATACACCAAATCTACACCCTTACCCTAATCTACATAGCAATAACCTTTTCAAAAATGTCAAAAGACTTGCAAGGCAATATTTTCCCCTTGGTGAAATCATGTTCACTATTCAATAAAATTCTAAACTTTGTTAAATGGTTTGCAAAGCATTTTTATCGGACTTTCCAAAACTTTCCCACAACTGATATAGGACTAATGGGCCTATAATTACTGGGACAATTTTTATTACCTCACTTGAAAAGAGGAGTGACATTAGCTAATTTCCAATCCTCTTGTACCTGCCCAATATTCAAGGACTTACAAAAAATAGTAGCAAGTGGCTCACATATCCAACACTTAAACACCTTAAAAACCCTTCGGAACAGGAGCCTTATCGTTCTTTAAACTTCCCAATGTTTTATTAACAAGCCCAGAAGCAATACAACTATCTTATTCGAACTTGTTTTCATCTATCAACTGTTAAAGATGAGGAATGATAAGGAATACTGCTTAAATATTCATTAGCAAAAACTGAAGATAAAGTAGAATTTAATAACCCAGCCATCTCATAACCATCGGATATAAGCCTTCCCTTATCATCCCTCAAGGGTCTTACCTCCATCCTAACATTTTATTTACCCTTAATGTATTTAAAGAAATCCATACTGTTAATTTTTACATTTTCAGCTAACCATTTCTCATACATCCTTTTTGATATCTAATTTCCTGTATCACCAATTTTCTTGATCCTCTAAATCTCCCGTCATACCAGTCAATTTAAATTTCTTAAATTTACGATGCTTTTCTTTAATTTTATCTCTTATACTCTTTGTGAGCCAACCTGTTTTTTTTTTACTTGCAGCTACACTTTTCTCTATACAAGGAATATGTTTTCTATGAATATCTAAAATTTTATCTTTAAAAATTTTCCATGTCTACTCAGTGTGTTCAACTAACTCAGCTGCCGAATTCACAATAGATAATTCAGGCCTACGAATTTAAACTTCATAAAAGTTATTGTTACGTCTCTGGTC